CCTGTCCGCTTCTTTTCGATAGCTGCAGCCGGCGCCACAACCGAGCACAGAACATGAACTCCCGATACCGGTCCCTCGTGCTCATTGGGACGACATTGTCTGTGCTTCGGGCGAGTTTCGTGACGTAGTCATAGGCAGATTTTTTGGAACAAAGACTGTGTTGGTGAAAATCGCGCAAGCAGTCGAAGGTGACAGCCGTAACCGGGCTTTTGATAGTTGCGGGAAACATATCATGTTGCAGTAGCTGTATGAAGTGGGGTGAAGCAGAAGCACCTGCGCAAAGACCGATTTCCACCTCGTGCAGGCCATTGGTATGAACGACGGTAATTTTTCTTCTGTTGCAGTTGCTGCCGCAGCATTGGCAGAACGCCAGAATAGCACCGAGCTTTGTCAACGTAACTCGTTCGAAAAAAAGACCGTTCCACTTCTGTATCCGATGGAACGGTAGAGCTTTGTGTGCTTGAGCTATACACGCATCGCAGAAGCCCTGTCGCCCAAAACACTCGGTGCATCGGCTCACCGCTGAACCTTGCAGACAGTCACGGCACCGCTCTCCCGGCTTGAAAGGTCCTTCTCTCCTAAGAAGCTCATCCTCAAAGAGTTTCTCAAGTTTCGAGAACTCTCCTAGAGCAGGCATTGATGTGGAAGGCTCCTGAACGTAAGTTAGAGCGAATCAGACTTTGGGCACAGACGGTGCACACCTGCAGTTGGTCTTGTTCCTCCTCCTCCTCCTGCTTACTCTCTACCATGGGATTCATCGGTATATTCCAATTTTGTTTTTGGGGCGCAGGTAACTTGATGTATCGCGCTTTCTGCCTCGTACCGACCTCCACTGTCCGAACCCATCGACCCAATGCACCATCCTCAATGGTAGGAGTTGCTGCTTCCCTCTTGCGCTTCCCAGCCATTGGTGATCTTGTAGACAGTGCCGAATAAGATGATATCGTGTAATTTATATCTGAAGGAAGTTTTGATGAGTACAGTAGAAAATAATACTGATGAGAGCACGTCGAGCACGTCGTTCAAGTGGGGATGAAGTGGGATGAGCGAAGTGCAAAAGCTCAGGGTTCAGACACAAGCTGATCGATCAATATGTCGGACAGTATACAACAGTAGGACACATTTGATTTATCTCTTCCTACTGTACTAGTGTTACAGATACTTCTATACATCATATCTATTTTCATAATGACAAGGGAAGATATGATCTGGCACATTGTAGATACAGAAATAGCATTCGAATTCTTACCGGAATGTCACTTCTTCCTCCATCTCTACGAGCTCCAGGCACGCGTTGACCGAGTATAGTCTGATACAGCATGAAGGCAGTGATAGCGTTCGAGTTCATTACCATATTTTCATGTCTCGCTCCAACTCCTCGAGCTTTGGGCAGGGGTTTATCCAGCTTGAGAGGGTTAGATCACGGGACTGCACAGTCTCCATCAACACCTGCTTGATCTTCTTTGAAAGTTCCCTCGGCCAGCCCAAAGCAAAGCGGATCGAAATCAGTCCATTTCTCTCTCCGGATCTTTGATTGGCCATCGAAGCGATTCGTTTGGCGCTGAATGGATAAAAATGATTGCCATTGAAGGGATCGGCACGAGGATGGAAGAATGGGATGCATGCATCGAGTGTGAGGTCCTTCAGCGCGGGGAGTGTCCCCCCCGAACGGAACAGGTCGATGAATTTGTTGTCTAAGGCACCAGCAAACAATGCCAGAGACTCGATTCCACGAAGTCTCGTCAACACGCTGTTCCAAGCGTCATTCGTGCAATAGGCATGCTTGATAATAAGGTGCCGAAGACTTGATCCGTTCGCGTTTGCAAGGTGGATAAGGGACGCCTCCTGTACATCCAGGTCCACATCGTCGTATTGAAAGCTGATACAGTTCGGAAATAGCAAGAAACATTTCTGCATGTACGGCATGTTGAGAGCGCGCACAAGATATAGAATCTGCAGAGGATGGTCATTGATCTTCAATGACTGTAGCCTCAGGAATTCGACTGCTTGCATTCCTTCCACGATGTTCGATTTTTGGAGGACGAGGTGTTGCACGGACGATACGCACGCCAGAGAAAAACGAGTACGTTCTATCGGAGACATGATCTTTCGTGGGGCTTCTGCATGTTTACCGTGCGCCTCGGCCGAGATACAGAACAGCTCAGCATCCATCAGGGCAACCTTCTCCAATCCAGACAAGTTTACAGGCTTGCTTTCGACGGTGACAAGTTGGATGCTGGCGGGCGCAAGTTTGATTGTATGCAACTGGACAGCATCTACAACCCGCACGACTATGCGCTCGCTGTGACGCAAAAAGTCTTGCACACTAAGAGACCAGAGAGGAAGCTCGCCATTAATGTAGTTGCTGATTTCGAGGGGCCCGATGGCCCAGTCGTCGATATTCATACGCAGTGCGCGTACGCGATGCCAATAATCGATCAAGTCGCGTAACTGGTCGAACATAGCGTCACGCATATTCATCGATTCAGTCAAGACAGTGAGATTGAGATGGAGTCGAATGGTGCCTTCCGAGCCGCAGTGCTTCAAGTGATGCTCCAAGGTGCTTCGAGTCCAGGCGCCGTGAGTGACATCGTGAGAGGTCGTCTCAACCATGGTTGTATCACCGGACAAGGAAACAGCTTGCTCGACTAACTCTGCGAGAGCATCTTCATCCGGGAAATCATCGCTGGGGAGTGTTCCGTAGGTCGACGCGTCGTTGTCGTTCAAAGACGCCACGCTGCCTTCTGACGCGTCTGCAGTCACCACCGCTTCGTCGTGATCGTGCATCTGAAGGCCACTCTCCAAGAACCATATCCCTTCCCCGCAGCCCTTGAACACCCAGCAGTATCCCACCTGCAGCTCTATGGACCTCCAAAGCGAACTGTTGGTATAAGGGAGTGCTTGAAAGCGGCGGCAGACTAGGGCAATGTTGCATAGCTGATTCTTGCGTTCTACGTCGGGTGTGTCGGACAGACAATGCTCAAAGATAGCAAGCACAATCTCTGCCGAGAGCTTATCGAAAGGTGACTGCAGATCTATGCTCGTCTTGCCAGGGTGAGGAAGAGCCGACGAAGCGGTGGCTTCAGGGTTGGTGTTGGTCGCGCGATTGTTGGAGCTCTCAGGTGGATTGCGGTGGCTCATCTTGTCGATACATAAGAATCAAGATTAAAGATCGAGATTCGAGCACAGCTTGAGACTGCACACAGCTGGTGTAGAGGATGAGCGACGGAGACCCGTCGACTGCGTGAGAGTGTCTTGCGCCCCTCAATTTTAGGGGCTGTACACCCGAGGGTCCTGACCTCGATCTTCACCTGCCGCCTACTGACGAAGTGCCAAAAGACCATCCGGCAGAGCATATCGAGGGTGAAATCGATTATGTTGAGTGGGGGCAGGCCCCAACACTTAAATGCAAGCGGACTCTGCATCTCTTCTCCATTGGGAGATGTCGAGAAAGTCAGGGAAGTCCCGAATTAGAGTGCAGAGGAATAGCATTTGAATTTTCCAAATTTTGTAGACCCAGCTTATCAATACATGTACCTGCACTATCTGTCAGAGAGACACAGCGCATGTCGGGAAGAACCCACATAATGAATCTCCACCTCCCTGCAGCCCTACGCAACCTGTGTACCCATGCTCCCTTCAGCGCCATTACTTCGAGCGTCCTGCCTGAAGTGGACGTCGAACCAGTCAGCGTCGCTGGCCAAATCCACGCCGAAATCGCGGGAAAAGGCTCGCAAAGGAACAAAGGACCGAAGCCATGCGAGGCCTGGGAGCACATTCCACAGAAGCAGCTGCTTCATCTCCTTTTCATTTGAATTAGCATCTACAAAGTGCGATCAGTCCGTTTAACACATTTGGCAGTTAGAAAGAAATGGTAGACATACCCGAGAGTGTGGAGGGATCCGTCAGGCCTGCTGCTATAATATCCAACTCGAAGCCGTTCATCTTGCGTAATTCAGCAACAAGACCAAAAGCTAATATCAAGAGGAGGGTGTGTAGGCCACCTATGAGAGCAAATCAGCGACTGTGTACGTGATGCGCTCCCACACTTACCGGAGCGAGCAATGCGCGCTAGATGGGATCCTTCCCGATTGTAACGGTCGAACTGTTTGTAGGACATTGTGTGCCCATCAGAAGACGAGCTTTGACATACATGCTCCTCGTAGTACTGAGGAAGGGTTACGCCGTTTGGCGACATCGTTCTACGCAAGGAACCGAGTGAGTGGCAAGCCATAGCAAGGGCGAACATATTTGCTACTTTGACACCTTGCTGTTAAGCGCCATACACACCATCCACCGTCTCCACGTCAACAGATGACGGCAGTTATCGTGGTGAATAACGGATGAGATTGCGGCCACAGCATCGACATATTCTATGTTCGTGCCTCGAAACTCTTCTGCGCTCAACCCTTTCACAAGAGACGAGCTGAAGAGCTTCTTCAACTTATCACGCCCAGATGGTAATCCAAGATGGGAAAGCATCCAAATAAAGTGCTGCGCGGGAGTTCGGATCATCCGAGTAGAGTTTGGGGGTCTTTCCACGGTATACTGGATCTCTGACACCATGACAGCTGGATTGAGAGGATCTGCACTAAGCTTTCGGCGCCTAGCCACGGGCGCATCTTCGCCCTCCGTTCCATATTTTCGTTTGCGGCCATTTCGCAGTGGTGATAGATATGACGATGGCGCTACCGAAGGAGCTGAGGAAGCCTCCGAAGGGACGGGTGAGGTAGGTTGGAAGTGAGGCGGAGAGTACGCTTCGGGTGGCTCGGAAGGTGGAGCGGCATCCGATAGCTCATCGTCAGTGAGACTGGGGAATTCGCCTTCCTCAAATAATGATGTGACAGAAGAGTTAGAAGACCTACAGTATAACATTGACGAGATCGATCAAACAGTACCGAGTGAATATACAAACGGCTTACCTGGCCGAGACAATTCCGCACGTGGCTCAGTTTGAGCCCCAAAGCCATGTGTGCGGGCGGCTCCGGTCGTAATCATCCTAGTCTGCCAGCTGTGTTGGGTACGGTGGTCTGGAGCCCTACTGGAATCATGATTTTCAGGGTGTCGCCTAGAATTTTCCTCCAAAAGTCGAACCACCGTGCGAAGACGCTCCAACGTGCCAGAGTCAAGCGGCCCCTTTGCCATTTCGGCCAGCACGGACATCATTCCCGACCATTGCGGACCTGAGAAATTGAGTTTCCGGGGCGACGCACAGAAAGCATGACATGAATGGGGCCCGTCGTCGACTTCGGAGAACGGAACCCGGTCACCATCAGAGGCAGGAGGTAAAGATCGAGATCGTGCACTGTCGAACTGCATTGAAATGTGGTAGTTATATGGAATCGGGCCTTGATGGATCTGCCGCTTCTGGGAAAGCAATTGATGATCGTCCGGTATTCGGATCAGTAATAAGACGGGGTTCTTGGATATGACGGAGGTATTCTCAGATGAAAATGCTTCCTGTCACCCAGTGCACAGCATGAATGAGAAGCATTGCCAGGAAAATGAGCTCGTACCTCACTTAGTCTATCATCAGGCGCCTTAATTTTGCTGGATTGCAACAATATTGTTACAAAAGAACTTGCAGAGCTGAATGTAGAAGAAAGATGTGCTGGTAAGGTGGTGGCTAAGATGAGGGATCGATGGGCGAGTTGCACGAGGCGTTGCGTATTAGGGGAATTCCCTCAATATGATTCCACCAATAGTTCCCTTGAATCGTACTGTTCGCTCTGGCTACTCCTGTTTGAATAGGCCTTGATGTTCTTGCTGGTTCTAAGATCGAAACATCAACATGTGAAATATACTGGGCGACTCTCTCTGTAACTGCGGGATACAATATCGGCGGACAGGACCGACCGGACTGGCGGACGTCACCTCTGTTTCTATATTCGAACATCTTTCAACTGCGGCTGTCTGACATAGTGAGTACGTAAAATTGCTTTGGTATTATTCTCTAAATGGTGGTCTGAAACTCGATCAGCTCGGATCCATTTTCACTTGCAAAAAAAACCGTTGATAGGACGATCTATCAATCTCCATGGGCAACGATCGACTTCGTGGAAGAGGCTGGATTCTCATGTACTTGTGGAAGAGGACCCCGTTCGTACGTAGTATTCTCACTCTTGAATTCTGGAGTGCGTTTTGGGTTCAGTTCACATCTAGGAGCGTCTGGTGCTTTCCTGTGGCCATCGAGGCATCACATAAAAGGGTCGATGTGCTTCCACCAAACAGCTTCAGCAACGTCACGAATTGGCACCCATGTCTGGTATTGTCTATGGACCGCCTCGTCGAACAGCGGTTTGTAGACACCCGGACTGTGAAGTTCTTATCAATCCCGCAGTCAAGATATCTGCAAGTCCAAGAAACCCAGGAAAGCGATATCACTCGGTGAGTCCCATTACATTGTACGGCACATCAATTTGACGTTGTAAAAGTGCTATAATCGGCACTTCTACTGCTTCAGAATGGATCTAAGCCCATCTCATGGAAGATCAAGCCCACGCACAAGAAGCGGCTACCAGCCCCGGCAGACAATAGCGAGACCACCTAGACAACATCTCCCATGTACGAATGGATGTGGAAGACCGGCCAATCGATCGGGTTGTCCATGCATTCGATGCATTCACTGCTGTCCTGGTCCGTGCTCTCGACCAGGGCATCCGAGCCAGAACCCGACCGCGCAAGCCGTTGATATTGGGAGGAACAGGTCTTACGGAAACTCGGTATCTATGAGCATGGTGCCAGTCCTCCCCTGCCGCCGTCCTCTCCACCTTCATCTCCACCACCATCAAGATCTTCCTTGATTGAGCTAACCCACGTCTCGGAGACCGTTAGCCGAGCTACATCTCCCCCTTCCCCTATTCCTATGTGGAGTACGGATGCTCCGAATGATGCACCCCCAGGCCATACTGGTCGTGGCAGAGACATGCATATCGAAGAGGATCATCGTGAGGGAGTTGCAGTGATCTATATTTGGACCTGGGTTAGTGATATGTAGCTCCGAGTTCATCCCTCGAATGTGTACTCATACTCCTGCTCAGCACGACATACTCCCCTGGAAGATTCACTGGGACTTAACGCAATCACACGTGTTTTCACTCGACCTGCTTGCACGACGAAATAGAATGCTGCTCTCCCATTATGAGCATGGCAACGTGCGATTTTGGAAATACGTCAGTCACGAAAGGAGCTGGGAGCTCACAACGCCACAGGCGGAGCACCGGCTGTGGTCCGGGTGTTTGCTTCTTTTTAGCTGGACACTCGTTGGAAGCAGCCGGACGCGGGATTGGGCTGACTTTTTCTCCGCATTGCTCACAGTACATGATGTTAGCAGCGGTGCTGGGCGTAAGTAGTCCATCAAAAGGTCCCCTGCCTACTCTGACAGACCGCACAGGTCTGCAAAATTCGGAACAACGTAGAGGGCGAGAAAACGTGTCCATCCTCAGGCCTGTGCAACCGACGGGTCCTCTGATGATGGCAGTGGCCTCCGTAGTCGTTCAGCTTGTGCACGCCACTTCACAGCAGGAAGAGGCCAATCGCGAGGACGATGTCATTGACTTGACAAGCGACTAGATCGCAGCTTCATCTTACAATGGGCATTCAACTGCTGCCTTCTTCCATTGCTTAGATAGATCTACTACCCGCCTTCTTATATTCATTAGATACATGTACCTCCCGTCTTCTTCTATTACCTAGATATATTTCCTCCGGAAAGTAATTAAAGAAATGCGTGTTCAACCTCGCAATCAGGGTCCTACATCCTGGGGCGGAACTATACTACTACTTCTCTTTCCTTTTTCTTCCATGGTACCTCGATCCAATTTCCTACCGCCATGTATGGTCAACTCTATGCATTCTTCTTGGCAGTGCTAAGCTAAAAGGTTGCTAACTGGATACTGTCATCAATGTACCCTGAGGAATCTTAGGCTTATGGTTCTTATCTCGGCGATCTCTGGATAACGACGGACACCTGAATCGAAGCTGTGTGATACCCAAAGGAGGAGCATCTTTGCCCGTCTCCAAGTTTTTTTTTTCTCGTCATGCTAATGGAGCGAGTGTGGATCAGACCTAGAGAAGCCATCGTGGTTGAACTACAACTCTTCACCCCCCGGTCGACTTCACGTCTGTCCTATCGTCGTCTCCCCCGCCTCATCGACTGGCTCGTACTATACCACTCTCGCTCGTCAACACATGGGTGCTGCTGCAGTCAATATTCCACGATTTTCCAGCCATCAAATAGACTGGCTGAAAGAGAGACTTCCTGCATATGTGTCGAGCTGCGATGGTCGTCGAGGAGAGCCGCTGCGGTTCACCAAGGCCCAAGCCACCGCGTTTCTTGCTGCCTTCCCTGATTACTTTGCCCTGGAAGCAGAGATCCCGACAGATCTCTGGAAGGCATTGAGTATCGTATGTGATGCTGTAACATCGTCAGTTCTAGGAATCGCTAACAAATTGTGCAGAAAATTGATACTTGGTTCAAGAACCACAAGCGAATGAGGGGACAGCAGACAATTAAGCTCGAAATGAAATCTCCGCGTCACCAGCCCACTGCAATGCGAGCTCGGGAACTGATGGCGGCTCAGAGAGACGATATCCCATCGCTGGTAAGAGCCAAAGCAGAAGAACTGAACAAGCATTCGCTTGGCACGAGATCGATCGTAACCAAACAGCTCTGGGAAGAGCTACCAGATACCACCAAGGACGTGTTTATGGCGGCTGCGCGCGCTGAGAGAGCCGAAGGAGTCAATACGGAATGCAGCCTGTCGGAAAGGGAAAAACAAGAGTACGTGATTAGTTTCCTTTCGCGCGTTGACGACGACTAACCAGCTTGCGCTGCAGACACATTCTGAAGTTAGCTCGAACCGCAGCATCATTTATCAGGTCCTTAAAGGAGAAGACGGGGTGGACCTTTCTACTGCTCGGTGGGGGACGTCAGTTCGGGAAAGGACTGGGCACCTTAGTGTAAGCAGACACATCCAGCACGGTGCTGTGCTGACTGGATCGACAGGGTCGGAGAAGGTGAAACCTGCGAGACGAACCTTCGCTTTCAAGAGTATCACGAGAACTGGGAGGGACATGTCAAGCGGCCATGGATCGAATTCGTAAATGCGTTCGGTGTGTCCGTTCCAGAAACTGCGTCAATGCGAAATCGCTGACTTCTACACAGTAGGAGAGGAGAGGTCATACGGCCGACGACTACCACTCATTCCCAGGGCATACGGAATTCCCTGTTTACCTGAGGTTCAAAGGGATTGGACTGAGACTGATTACAGAACAATGATGCTAGGGTGGATGGAGGCTGTTTGGGGTACGTCGTTGTGAGATGTTTAGGATCCGAGGACTGACAGATTAGTAGAGGACGAAGATATGGGGGGAGCTCCTGCGATCTCCCAGCAGAAGCACCCGGAAGGCTTCCCCCTGGTGTTCACTCGAACGATATCAAAACTTGCAGTTTCATTGCTTTGATTGAAGCTTACGGATACGTACGTGAGCAGCAACTTGCAATTGGGGCAAACTACAGCTTTTTTGGCACCGGCTTGCTAAGGCATAACACGGAAGCATGGTATGGGGATGACAATAACCTAGGTATGACATTCCTTTGCTTACATCGGTTCGCTCTTCATTCATGTGCTGCATGGAACATCTAACCATATCGGCAGAAGACGAACTGCTCAACGACGAGGATATCGACATACACGAAGAGGATGTGTTCATTGCGAAGTCAGCTGAAGCAGAATCCCAGTCACTGCCAATCAGCCGCACTGGTGGTATTACATATCCTTCGCTGCCAGACTTTGAAGGACCACCTCCCGATGACTCCCCAGCGTGCTTCACGCCGTCAAGCGACGCAGAACAACCGATCGACACAGGGTCGAACGACAACATGGTTGAGACCTGCGAGGAGGTTGTCTTCAGCAAACCTAAGTTCACGCGATTAATACAACACACTGGTCTGGCTGGCTTATCGACGCTATCCGATGCTCGAAGGATGCTGGGTGGGGCAGACCCGTACGTTCGTATTGTACATTGAGCCAGAGCTGAACCTGCTCATAACAGATCTGAAATGGACCTCGGACGTCGTGTGAGGAAGCGTCGTTTCTTGGGTGAAGGGGAGGGAATGGGGACCGTGCAAAATGAAGATGCTCCGAAAAGCAGTTTGAAGAAGAGCTCGGCGCGAGCGCAGCGTTATGTCAAAGAAAAATACGTACTCCACTGTGTCGATACGATAACTAACTGAGACTTATTAGGACTCACAAAATCATTCGAATACGCCAAACCAAAAGAGGACGCGCGGGGAAGAGACGTGAAAGTACTGAGCAGTAGAAAAGGTTTCTAGATGAAAGCTGCTCGTACCCTGTCTATACCAGCTTTGTTCTTAACGAGATCCGAAACGACACCGAGATTTTCGGTGTCCTTTGAGTGTCCTTTGAGTGTCCTCTGAGTGTCCTTTAAGTGTACTTTGAGTGTTGCTGTGGATGAGCCGGTGTGAATCTCGCGGGCAATATACAGCATTTGGGTCATGAACGTCTGAGATTTACACTGAAACATGGCACTCATACGGGCTCAGATTACTCTGAGCTACTGAAGTCGCTGCAGAACAGGCCGACAAGAGAGGGGGAGAAAACCTCGGAGGCCTAGTCGAGCGCAGCGATGTGGGTTGGCGCTGCTTGCTCATCCCTCCTCACGGCGGTGGCTGATAAGAAAGTCAGTAAATGGGCACATACGATCAACGACCTGTGGCTCACTTCCGCCATTACAGCCTATCGGTACACAGTCAGCCTATATATTTTCTACGGTTCGACAAAGGACGCACTGTACTCCAACCAGGTGAAATCCTGCCCGTCGTCAGGATGGAGGCAGGTGCCAGGCGCCAAGGCAAATGCGGTAAAGACCGTCTTGTGGTTATTCTCGCCATGCAGGGTAATGGAGCCTGCGCAAGCATTGAGCGGGCCGTCAATTTGCTTGAAGGAAAGGACTCACAGAACGTCTGGCTCTGGGTGACTTTGAACGCCGCCCTTGTGCAAATATAAGATTGCCTATCGTGAGCACGTACTACGAGAGAGTGCAAACCTGGGACTGCCAAACGACTGCGAGACATAACCAGGCCGGATATCTTTGTAAACTTGGGTTTTGCCGCTGCAGTCTGCGGAGGAGTATCAGCGGTATTCGACATGTTCTACCTGTTTGCACTCACTGGGCCCGGTGAATGTCTCGATATCGATGAGATCTTCAGAGCGCTTGCGGATCGCAGCAGCCTGAACCATGAAGGGCAGCAAAGCCAGAGTGACAACTGAGGTGAAAAGCATCGTTGGAGCAGACACAGAAGTGTTGGGATCGACTTCTTGAGAGACTGAAACGCTTGACCGCGTTCGAACTGAAGCGGTAGAGATCACCTCTGGCTCTGACTTTATACGTTTGGAAAGACCATCACAGCAAGTCTTGGTAGCCCGAGTCGTGGTAAGGCTGAGTGCGATGGTTCCACCCATGCATATATTCCACCCTAGCTGTTTGGAAAGAAGCACTGCAACCTCGGCCACTGTGTCTGAGTCGCCTAATTAGCCCAATTCAGGTTCTGTCTGAGGTGTTGAGTTAAAGGGTGCTGCAATAGGGGAGCAGCGCCTTCACCATTGACCCTCGCAACCGCCTCCGGATGAGTCGCCGCAAAGGCTGTCCGCCGGTCCTAGGTGCCCTGCGGAGACACCCTTCCTACAATGCCCCTCTGGGGGCAATTGCCCTCTTCTTCACATGTGCTGCATATTTACTTGCACTCTCTGTGGCAATGAGAAAGAAAAGCATGAGAGATATTTCAGGGGTCCCACCCTTGTTAAAAGTCACAATATAGAGATAATATACATATTCAAGGAACAAAAATTCTCCATCACTTTAGTACATTGTTGTCATTACAGCCCTCAAAATACCTCCATATTACTTATGAGCATGTCTTCTTTATTTTTGATAACACTGTGGGAGAAATTGATTTTAAGACCCCTAAACTATCTCCCTTATGAGTATCTTGTCACTGCCACAAAGAGTGCAAGTAAATATGCAGCACACATGAAGAAGAGGGGCCTTATAGGAAGGTGTCTCTGCAGAGGGGGCACTAGAGGAAATTGCTCTAATATCCATACTTGCATCACCAAACCAGAAGGTACTGTACCATATTCCAGTTGCTGCTAATTGCCAATGGAACCCTCAAACAATCCATCACTTAATTAATTGGCATCCCTGGCATCAGGTCTACAGTGTTTGAATTTACAAACCCTGTTTGGGCCTTGAAATATACAGTACCCTGCAAAATTATTAACACATGGGACTTTTTAAATGGATTGCTTCATCTTGCTGCAACAATTGAGGAACACACAGCATTTTCCCCCATTAATGGTTTTACTACAGGTTGTAAATATATATGTCCTTGTACTCATTCTTGCATATCAAAGGATTTGAATGAGCAGAAAAAATGCCAGATGCAGTCTACATGGCTCACTCAGTTTTAGACTTGTCTGCTACAATGTTAGTTTTTACCTGATTCAAGTTGACAAAGGCTGAGATAATAAGCAGAAATTGGAGTTCAGAACCCTAACATTGGGGGTATGTCTGACTTGAGCTACCTTAAATGATAATAGCAAGGTAAATATTTATCTTTCTTATTTAGAAATTGCAGGTGCATGACAGGGACATATCTGTCAGGGTTTGCCCAGTTTCGGTGCAAGTTCAATACAATTGACACTGAAAAGCTCACTTCAGACTCAGTCTAGCCTGAATCTGTCAACCCTGAAGCAACACCACTCAATTACTTCGAAGCACCACCCTAAACAGTGGTAAACTGTACAGTCCCACAGCCTCTATTTTGATTCCATTATACTTCCATTTTCCTACATGTATATATACCAGCTCTGGGAGCCTTATGCCCCTTAGAGCTGATATCTCAGGAATTCCACTGTCAGATAGTGACAAACCTAGATTGAACTCTCATCAAATCCCTCCAACTGTCTGATTGGTACTCAAACCTAGACTTCAACCCCCTCGGACCACTTGTGACTTCACTCTACCTCTCTTGTCACTAAAGGCATTTCGGGCTGATTTGTTATATTGGCCCTACTGTCAACCACAACTTGAGCCTTTGTGTTCTCCTTGCTGCTTCTTGATTTTATCCGGTTCCTGTTTTGAGGATACTTTCGATATCTGGCAGTGTGCCCTGACAATGTCTAGCTTCACTTGTTGTTACTTGAGTGTGCCTTGAAATGTGCTGTGTGCCTGACAATGCCATTGATGAGACCAATCAATAGAAGGCAAAAAAGCGATTGTCATTATTTTTGCGGGGTACTGTATATCTTCGGCCTTTTAAGGAGCCCACAACATGAAATTGAGGCCAGGGTAGTCTGTTCTTCGCGACTATCGCGTTTCTGGTTTGTGGAGCTTATCCGCATGTGAAACGGCAACTTGCAGTGGATTAGGCATCAGAATATTAAGTATGCTACTAGAAAGTTCTTGGGATATGCAAATGAGCAACAGGCTGACAATAGAGCAGCGCGAGAATATCTCGGACGACTAGTAGAGCGCAGCCATGGGAGTTGACCCTGCTTGGTCACCCCTCACTCCGGTGTCTGATACGCAGGTCAGGAAACGGGCCGGGGACATACGATCAAATAATTGCTAGCGCACTTTAGTCGCAAGCTATCGATGCATCGTCAGCCTATAATCCCTGGATGCTAGCAGCAAGCACGTACTGTACACCAAGTAGGAAACCTGGTCGTCCTTTGATG